TTTTTTGCTTGTGTCTGATATTAATGATATTGTTTGATAATTTCCACATTTTGTTGCATTACCTTTCTTTGGAATGGACACAGATATGAATCTCTTCCAGCTGGTTGGTCAGGTAGCTGTCTTCCAGATTTCTTGGCATAGATGAGTGAGCACTTCCAGTGTTGCATCTGTTTGTTGAAACATCTTAGTCGGTGTTCTGTAAATTCCTGGAGCCTTGTTTTTTGCCAATGCTTTCAGTGCAACTTGGACTTCTTCCTTCAATACCATCAGTTCTTGATCATATGATACTTCATGAACTAGTTGAACACTGACCAATTCTTTTTGGTACAGTGACTCAATGTATGTTCCTTCCATTTTCTTTTGATGCTTCCTGTATTGTTCAATATTTTGCCCACAGAAATCCTTCAGTATTGCAACTTGAGTCTTGAACTTTTTCTTAAATTCTTCCAGTTTGAGAAATGCCAGGCATGTTGGTCCTTTCTGGTTTTCTTACTCCAGATCTTTGCACATTTCATTATAATAATTCTCTCCAGCTGTCCTTTGAAATCTTCTGTTCAGCTCCATTACTTCATTGTTTCTTGCATTTGCTTTAGCTACTCTATGTTCAAGAGCAAGTTTCAGAGTCTATTCTGACATGTTTTTGTCTTTGCCAACGGAAGCAGCAGTCAAGAAATCAAACAATGTATTGCATTGGGCAAATCTGCTGCAAAAGACCTCTTTAAAGTCTTAAAAAGTGAAGATGTTACTTTGAGGACTAAGGTGCACCTGATCCAAGCCAATAGCGTCATATGTATGTGAAAGCTGGAAAGTGAATAAGGAAGACCAAAGAATAATTGATATCTTTGAATTGTGGCATTGGCGAAGAATATTGAATGGACTGCCAGAAGAATCAACAAATCCATTTTAGAAGTGTTGCCAGCATGCTTCTTACAAGGCAGGATGGTGAGACTCCCTCTTCTGTACTTTGCACGTGTAGAACCTCTTCCAAGAAACTTTCCAAGCCCACGGTGACACACCCCTTCCAAGCCCACGCGTGAACCCACCACGCCATAAAGAAAAATGTCTTGTGATTGGACAAAGCCGGACTTGTGGTTCTACGTTTCTTGAGAGGGAGTTGAGCAGAGCGCTCTGTGATTGGTTAAACTCTCCCTTCTCTTTCAATCATACCTATATCCGGGAGAATGAGGGTGTACCATTCCCTTGTTAGACTAGCGTGCTCTATGATTGGCTTTCCCTGCATACGTATCAGCGGCCACAGCCTATGGGCGCAGAGAGGTGTCTGGGCGGTCCCGTCCGGTCGCCGTGTGCAGTGCAGCCAGAACTTCGGGCTGTCAGTGCGTGTTCTGCTCGGTGCTCTGAGCCCCGCGCGCCGTCCGCGCTATGGCCCTTCCGCCGCAACTGCAGGCCCTACTCTTGGCTGTCAACACATTGCTGCGCAAGCGCCGCTACCACGCTGCGTTGGCCATGCTTAAGGGCTTCCGGAACGGGGTTGTGTGAGTGGGGCTGTCCGGCCAGGCCGGGCGGGGGTGAGGGACGGGTGTGGTGCGAGTCATAGGTGCAGGTTTGAGGCCCGGCGCTGCAGCGCCATGTGCCGTTGAGCAGCCCTTATGTCTCTCTAGGCCTTAGGTCCACTGTCTGCTCAATGGGCGCTGGATCTTGCGTTCTGAGAGCCTTTCCAGTTCTGAGCCGGAGTTTCCCCTACGCCGTTTCTGGGATCCTCCATATTCTTCAGCATGGCCTTCTTGCTTTGGCCACTTCCCATGCAAGTCCCTCTTTTTCCTTATTTGGGTCCAGTTCACCTCTGTGTGCCCTTGTGTCTGTCTCACCTCAGTGGTCCCATCTGGACAATGGGAAGCTGTACTCTGGCCTCTAGCAGGCAGGTGGGCACCTCCTACCTATGTCCCTCCCCACTTACCTTTCCCCATGGGCTCACATCCCATTTCTCACTTCCAGGCTAAGTATCCCTCTGGCATAGGGGACTCCTGGAATGTGAGTCTCAGGAATAACATTGGATGTAAAAGAAGCTGCAAATATTTTTCTAATAAATTAACCCCCACCCGGCCATCGGTCCTGGAGAAGATCTTGGAGGTCATTTCACCTGACCACTGACTCCTGACCCAGGGTAGGAACAATTCAGAAAGCACTCTTGGCATGTGGACACCTGGTTGGTGTTTGGAGGGGGCACACCTCCCTGAAACCTCAGGCGTAACAGCTACCATTTATTGAAATCTATTCTGCCTGGCTCTGAGGACACAACAGAGGTAGAGTTGGCATTTTAGTGGTGGTATGGCATGATGGAAAGGATATAGATTCTGGAGCCAAACTGCATTGGTTTGAATCCTGGTGCCTGCACCTACCTGTGTGATCTTGGGCAAGACAACTTAGCCTCTCTGAGCTCCAATTTCTATCAAAGAGGGATGATGATAGTACTTACACTGTGAAAAGGTTGAGTCTTGGTATGTAATTGTTGTTAGTCTGCTCCAACTTATAGAGACCTGATGTATAACAGCATGATATGCTGCCCAGTCATGCGCCATCTTCGTTATTGTCAGTATGTTTGAACCTGTTGTTGTGGCTGTTGTGTCAAGCACCATATAACTGATGGCTATTGTTCTTACTGTTATTTCTACATGGATGTCTGCCTGGCTCACTCTCTTACCTTTTTCAGGCTCCTGCTCAAGTGTCACGTCCTCAGTGAGGTCATCCTGAACTCCCCACCTCCTTCCGTGCTTTTATCCATAGAACTTACTCCTGTATCTTGCTTACAGTCCATCTCTCACCAGGATACGAGCTCCATGAGGACAGAAATTTTTTTTCTTTTTTGTTCCTTGGTGTCTTCTTATCTACCACCTGCTACATAGCAGGTCCTCAGTAAATGTGTACTGAATGAATGAACAAGGGTGCAAGGTAAATCTTGCCATTGTCCCCATTTTCTAGATGAGAAAACTGAGGCTTAAAGAGGTAAACTTCTTGCACATTGTCACATCACTTGATCAGGGTTGGAGCTAAGATACTAACCAAGTATGCCTGACCACATTGCCAGGCTCTTGGCTTCCATGGGCACCCAGAGTCATGTAGAAGCTGGTTCCTGCTGCAACTTGCCAGGTCATATTGGCCACATGTTGGTGTGACCAGAGAGGGATGGGTCGTGGGATTACATCAGTGACTCTTTGCCAAGACATTCTTGGGACAAAGCAGGAGAAAGCAGGAGCCACACAAGCTCCAGTGCCAGCAGGCATTGTCCAGTGCTGACTTTGTGGACCTGCCATCACCCCAACTCTCCCTATGACCTCAGGGACTGTCTCAGCCTGGCTAGGGTCAGGCCCTGGGTTCAATTCTAAGTTTCCCTATTTAATAGCTGAGTGGCCCTGAGAAAATCTCTTAACTCCTGTTTCCTCCTCTGTAAAATCAAGAAAATAACTGCTGCTATACAGGAGTGCTCTGAGACATTGATCACACGACTTGTTATGATAAGACACAGCCTTCACCTGTAAAGACCTCAAGTTCAAGGGAGAGACTGACAATTAAACTCCCACTGGCAGCATCAGGTGATCGGGGAAAGCTTCACTGAGGAGGTGATGGTGATATTTGAAGACTGAATTGGAATTTGCCAGAGGGCACCTCAGGACAACTGAGATGTTAGAATTCTGTAAAAATGAACTCCCTCTGATGTCCTACCCTAAATATTTCAATATGAAAACCAAACTCACTGCTATTGAGTCAATTCTAGCTCATAGTGACCCCCATTGGGTTTCTAAGCCTGTAAATCTTTACGGAAGCAGACTGCCTCATCTTTCTTTCATGGAGCAGCTGGTGGGTTCAAACCATTGACCTTTTAGTTAGCAGCCAGATGCCTTAACCAGTGTATGAAAAGTGTACCACCAGAGCCCCTTAAATATTTCATTATTCATCTCTGAAAGATAAGAATGTTTTCCTATATGGCCAGATTATCTTGATCACATTTAATAAATTAGTAATTGTTGTTGTTGTTGTTGTTGTTGTGTGCTGTCGAGTTGGCCCTGACTCATAGCGACCCCTCCTTGGGTTGTGGAGGAAGTATCACTATGGAAGTAGATTGCCCAGCCTTGCTTCTGAGGAGTGGCTGGTGGGTTTGAACCACCAGCCTTCTGGTCAGCAGTCAAGTGCATTAGGCACTATGCTACCAGAGCTCCCAAATTAGTAATAATCCTATAATATTGAGTATTGTCTAGTCATAGTCAAATTTTCCCAGTTTTCCCCAAAATGTCCTCTACAGCTCTTTTGTCCAGATCAAGATTCCCTGTAAACCATCACATTGCACCTGCTGTTATGTCCTTTACATTTTTTTTAATCCAGGGTACCATTTTGTTGAGGACGCAGAGTAAACCTGTGGGTGAGAGAGTAACCATTACCATTTGGGATGGGTGCCAGGCAGATATGGGGAGCTGGGGGCTGCCATCTTAGCTTGTGTCTGGGGCATGGGGAAGGACCCTTTTAACCCTAGTCAGCTGGAGGGAGACTGAGCGTCTGCGTGGCTTTGGAGGTGGGGAAGAAAAGTCTGCCGGGGCCTGGCTGGGGCCCTGGCTGTCCTGTCCTCCTCTGATAGGCAAGAGAGAAGACAGACAGTTCAGCCTGGTCTCTGCAACAGTAACACCAGCTTCAAGTTGTTAACATTCTTAACGGCTGTAATCTTGCTTGTTTTGTGAAATTATGTAACTCATTCATAAAAGGCACAAAAAATTAGACAATTAAAAGTTCTGCCCAATTCTTCTCTTTGCCACTCAGCCCCCCCCCCAGAGGCAGCCCCTCTATCGAGTCTCTATATCTGTATATAAATACGTATGTTCTCCCTGACACCTCTATAAAAGGTGGTTATTTTTCCATTATTTTAGGTTTATGGACGACTTTCTCCATTTAAACAGCTATCCACCTGCTGCACACACTGTCACGCACCTTGCTTCTGTATCTGGTTGATCTCAGACTCTCCCCATCAGTGCATAGAGGTGCCTCTTTCTTTGTACAGCTGCAGAGTGTTCCACTGAGTGGAGGAACCATTATTTATGTGTCCAGTAGTGGGCAGTGTTTCATTCTTGTTGCGCATAGGGTCGCTGTGAGTCAGAGCTGACTCCATGGCATCTAACAACGATAATGATAGCCCTCTGGTGACAAACACAGGCTTGTTGTTACAAACAACTTATGGTGAATATTCACATGTATTTGGGTGACAACAATATTGTTCAGATAACTGTGGTTCATGACTGTTATCTCAAGGATTTTTTTTTTTTTTAGTAAATATTTTATCATGTTTTAGGTATAAGTTTACACAGCAAATAAGTTTCCAGTTTAACAATTTTTATGCAGATTGTTCCATGACATTGGTTACACTTTTCACAATGTGTCAGCATTCTCATTATTTCCATTCTGGTTGTTCTGTTTCCTTTGTTCTAGCTTCCCTTCCCCTCCTTGCCTTCTTGTCTTTGCTTTTTGGTAAATGTTGACCATTTTGTCTCATATAGTTGGTTGTTTAAGGGAGCGCATGACTCAAGGTTATATTGTTTATTTTATAATCCATCTACTATTTGGCTGAAAGCGACCTCTAGGAGTGGCTTCAGTTCCAAGTTTAAAGAATATCTTAGGACAGTAGTCTTGGGGGTTCCTTTAGTCTAATGGATTCAGTAAGTCTAGGCTTTTCTCAGGGATTTGAATTTTGTTCTACATTTTTTGGCTGCCAAAGATTTTTAGATCGTCAGATCATGGCCTTGGGTTGTCGCCAGGTGCCGTCAAGTCGATTTTGATTCATAGCAACCCCATGTGAAAGATTAGAATTGCCCCACAGGGTTTCCTAGACTGTAATCTTTACAGGAACAGATCTCTCGGTCTTTCTCCTGTGAAGCTGCTAGGTGGGTTTGGCCCAGCCTTTCAGTTAGCAGTCAGGTGCTCAACTGCTGCACCTCGTTAAAAAAAAACCCAAAAACCACCATGTTCCTTGGGCCTTAGGTAAAGGACAATAAAAAGAGTAAGAAAGGAAGCAATACTGGTATTGACTGAGGTAGAAATTTTCACATGTGCTATATCCTTAACTGCCAGGAACAGCTCTGTGAAATGGAGAATACTTTTAATTGGTGGGAGGAGGGAAGCTTAGAGAGGTTAAATGACTTGTCCAAGTTCACACCGCAGAACAGGGCAGGACTCTGGCACCAAATCCCTTGTTCTTTCCACTGCCCTGTTGAGTATAATTAAAACAAAGAAAGTTGAGACCATGGTCTTCAGAGACATTTAGGTCAGTTGGCAAGCATCGTCCGTAAAAACAATATTCTACATCCTATTTTGGTGAGTGGGGACTGGGATCTTAAAACTGGTCATCTAAAGATCACCTGATTGGTCTCTTTACATCCAGAGCAAAGAAGAGTGAAGACAATCGAAGACTCAAGGAAACAATTAGGCCAAAGGACTAATGGGCCACACAAACCACAGCCTCCACTAGGCTGAGACCAGAACTAGATGGTGCCTGGTTACCACCAACAACTGCTTTGACTGAGATCACAATAGAAAGTCCTGGACGGAGTGGGAGGAAAATGTAGGACAAAATTCAAAAACCTTAAAAAAACACAAACCGCCATGCTTAGTGGTCTGATAGAGACTGGTGGAACCTGAGACTATAGCTCTTAGACATCCTTCTAACTTGGAAGGCAGGTTTATAAAGTGAACAATAGCACTCCTGCGGAATGGAACATGCTTCTCAGAACAATCAACTATAGAGACCAAAAGGGCAGCATTTGCACAAGAACAAAGTTAAAAAGGCAGGAAGGGAAACCTGGGTAAACAGAAACTGGGAACCTGAGGTGGAAATGGGAAGAGGGGATTGCAGCCAACGTCACAGAACAAACCGTATAGATTGCTGAGTGGGAGACTGATTTGCTCTGTAAAATTTCACCTAAACTACAATAAAATATTTTATAAATTACTCACCAAACCAGACTCACTGCCATTGAGTCCATTTTGACTCATAGTGACCTCTATTGGGTTTCCCAAGCTGTAAATCTTTATAGAAGCAGGCTGCCTCATCTTTCTTTCATGGAGCAGCTGGTGGGCTTGAACGACCAACCTTTTGATTAGCAGCCAAATGCCTTAACGACAACACCAGGCAAAAAGGAAAAAAATATATATATGTATATCAGTGCCATCGAGTTTATTCCAGCTCATAGCAATCTCCATTGGGTTTCCTAGGCTATAAATCTTTATGGAAGCAGACAGCCCCATCTTTCTTCTGTAGAAGAGCAGATGCCTTAGCCACTACACCACCAGAGCTCCTTAGAGAAATAAAAGGGAATAATGAAAGAGTTAAAACAGAACAGTGAAGGTGAATGTGGTCTTGTCCACATAGTCCCCAGATGCTCCAATGAGAAGATCATGAGCAAGAGGTTCGAATCTTAAAAGAGGCAATTATTTAAAATTCAACTTTCTTTTTTTTTTAATTTCAATTTATTTTAATTTTTAAAATGATGCTTGATTGTTTTAATTGGTCTTTCCTCATCTGGAGCAAAGAATGAAGAAAACCAAAGACGCATGGAAACAATTAGTCCAAGGGACTGGTACACCATGCAATCCTTAGCCTATATTGATCATGAAATGAGAACTAGATGGTGCCCAGTCACCACTGTTAACCTCTAGGAAAGGGATCAGTGCAGGAGATCCTGGACAGAGGGGGAGAAAAATGTGGAAAAAAATTCAAAATCGTAAAAAAGACCAGGCTTACTGCTCTGGTGGTATACTGCCTAAGACATTTGACTGCTAAGCAGAAGGCTGGCAGTTCAAACCCACCAGCCACTCCGCAGAAAGACTGGCCAATCTACTACCATAAAGATTTACTGCCTTGAAAACCCAAAAGGAGTCGCTGTGAGTTGGAATCGACTCCTTGGCAGTGAGTTTGTTTTTTTGTTTTTTTACGGCTCTTATAGAGCCTGGTGAAACCCCTGAGGCTACGGCCCCTGGTTTCCTTTCAGACCTGGAACTGAACTCTCCCCTATGGCTTCCAGCCAAACAATAGACAGGAATATAAAGTGGACATTTACACCAGGTAAATACACTCCTTAGAACAATCAATCATGGCAGAGCAAGAGGGCAGTATTTGCTCAGGGAGATAGCTCAGGAATGAGTAAGAAGGAAGGACACAGGGAAGAGGTTAACTACAGGGAGGAGGTGGGAAGAGAGCTGTTACATTGTGGGGATTGCGGTCGATGTCATGAAAGAAAAATATTTATGAACTGCTGTATGGAAAATGAATTTGCTCTGTAAACTTTCACACAAATCGCAATAAAATTAAAGAAAAAAACAGTGCTTAATTGTTTTAGAAGTACAGAAAAGTTAAAGATCAGACACAAATAAATTCCCATGTCCCTCCAACCCAGGCAACATTACTAATAACATTGTGGCATAGTTCCTTCCAGTCTTTTTGTAAATGCATTTTCACAAAGGTGAGGTTATTCTGCGTGTAAAACTTGGAAAGAGGTACGTTTTGAACAGTTAGAAGGAAGTACAATGTTACTTAAGAACTATTTTAGAGAATTTGTTCACTTTAAGATGGATTGGGCCGCAGACAGACCTTCTAGAAATAACCTCCCATCAAGGGTAATTAAGGGCTGTTCTAGAAGTGGTCAGTCAGCAGTTAATTATTGAATATCTACTGTATGTCATGTACTATACAAAGTGCTGGGGAATCTGCAGAGAACAAGCTAGGCACAGTGCCTGCCCTCCCAGAGCCCAAAGTCTCATGGAGGAGAAAGAATTATAATAGAATCCATAATTACGAAGGCCTGGGTCATTAAATTGAGTGTATAAAGTGCTTCAGAGAAGCCTGGGGATCTGTGGCAACAAAAGCATTGCTATAACCTAGGCTGGAGGGTCAGAGAAGGCTTTGCATAGGAGACAGCCGAGTCTGGATGGTCAAGGAACAGGTGGCTTGAGGAGGGGGAAGAGCATTCCAGGCCAAGGAAGCAGGCCAAGAACCCAAAGGAAAGAGCAAGGTATGTGAGAGAGCTCTGGGAGGGCCAGTGTGTCTAGTGCCAGAGAAGAGGGGACATGAGGCAAGGTAGGAGATGAACAGGGGCCAGGGCAGTAGGGCTCTCATGGCTGTGGGGAGGAGTCTGGATTTTATTCCAGGAGTAGTGGGAAGGCTTTGGAGGCTTTAGTACTGGGTGTGTTGTGGTCTGCTTTATGTTTTTAAAATGTGTGTCTGGCTTCAGTGGGAAAGGTAGGGTGGAGTCCAGGGAGCAACATCACACAGGGTGGGGCTGGTGGAGGCCTTTTACATGCATCACCCCTTCCCGTTGAAATGACAGCCAGCTACCAGCTCTCTGAGGTCTAACATTCCCTTTTACAGTTGGGGAAACTGAGGCTTGGGGAAGCTACATGACAGGCCTGAGGCTGTACTACCATAAAATGGGGTTTGAACCCAAATCTAATTAAAAAATGCAAACAACCACTGCTGTGGAATCGGATCCAACTCACAGCGACCCCTCCTTGGGTTGCCGAGGCAGTATCACTACAGAAGTAGATTGCGCAAGCTTCCTTCCAAGGAGTGGCTGGTGGGTTTGAACCTCCAGCCTTCTGGTTAGCAGTCAAATGCCTTAGGCACTATGCCACCAGAGCTCAAAAGCCAGCATTATTTCCCCCTCCAAAGTGGTATCAGAACTAGGGATGGGAGATGAGACAAGGAGTCTAACAGAAAGCCCTGAAAGGAATAATGATACAGTAATCACTTTTTTTCCTCTCTCTTTCTCTGCAGCTATGGAGTCAAAATCCGAGCCCCACATGCGCTGGTCATGACCTTTCTCTTCCGGAGTGGCAGGTACCCACCAGCCCTCTAACTGGGAAAGAATGGAGTCAGCCCTCAGTGCCAGGATGCTTGCACTATTCCCCCCACCCCAACACACACAGCTCCTAAAATACAACCCTAGCCCTGTCATCCCTGCTCAAAAGCTCCCCATCTTGCGAAGAAGCCCACTTCCAGGCCTGGCTTTTAATGCCCTCTGGCGTCAGCCGCATTGTCACACTGCCGCCCTGCCTCCACCCTGGGATGCACACAGGACTTGCCATTCTGTGCACATTCTACACACGTGCCACGGGTGGTCTGCTCCTCACTTTTGCTCATGCAGTACCCCCTGCCAGGAATGCCCCTTCCTTTCTCACCCCACCTTTATTTCCTCCTGGCAACCCACCTCATCCCCTGTAGCTCACTTCCTCTGGGAAGCTGCCCCCTGACCTGCCATCCCTTGCTCAAGCTTCCTGGCCTTCCTCTGATCTCCCATAATGCTTCCCTCGGGGCACTTCTCAGAAACCTCCTTGTGGTCTTATGTTTGTAGCTTCCTCTGGGGTTTATAGGATTCACACATGAGCAGCCTGTTGGCCAATTCCAGTTTGCAAGACTTTCTCTTTTGTATTTTTTTCTTTACTTGTTTTTGTTTACTTAGGGTTTTTTTTTTTTTTTTCTGCCCTCCGATTTTTAACAAACGTGACTCATTCATTTATTCAGCAGATATTTATTGAGCATGTCCTAGTGCCATTTTCTTTTCTAGCTTCTGGGGATATAGCAGAGAACAAAACAGTGGTCTTTACCCTCATAGAGCATGTAGTCTAGCATAAGGCAGCAGAAAATAAACATAGAAAGTGTATGACATGTTGGAAGGCGATACGGATTATGAGGAAGAAAAATTAGAGCAGGGGGAGAGGGATTGGGAGCTGGAGGGGGCAGGTTGCAGAATTAAATTTCAAAGTTCTCAGTGAGAAAGGAAACATTCTAGCTTGAAGGGGGTGAAAGAGTTGGCCAAGTGGATACCAGAGCAAAGAGTGTTCCAGGCTGAGGGAACAGCCAGTACAGAGACCCTGAGGTAGAATCGTGCCTGGTAGGTTTGAGGAGACTAGAACAGAAGGATTGAGGGGAAGAGAAGAAGAGGAGGATCACAGATGTAACTCAGGACTGTCCTGTCTAGCTGTAGGTCCTGGTGAAGAGTGGCTTTTTCCTTCAGTGAAGCAGGAAATTGTTCTAAGATTTGGAGCAGGGGAGCATCATTATCTGACTGGTGTTTTCTTAGTTTGAGGATTGAGAGTTTGCTTCCAGGTTAAAAATAGAGGAGGAAGGGGCACTAAGGCAGAAACTCCAAAAAACCAAACTCCCTGCCGTGGAGTTGATTCCCACTCATAGTGACCCCCATTGGGTTTCCAAGGTGGTAAATCTTTACAGAGGTAGATTGCCTGGTCCTTCCGTAGAATGGTCGGTGGGTTTGAACCGCCAGCCTTCTGGTTAGCAATCAAATGCTTTAGGCACTATGCTACCAGAGATCCTTACAAGGGCAGAAGTAGTTGTAACTTTGGAGTTGGCAGTAATCCCGGTGAGCACTGCTCTTGATCATGGCAATGGAAGTGGGGAGAAGTGATCTGATTCTAAAAACATTTTAAAGGTGGAATTCATGCCACATTTAAAAATGGGGCTGTTCACATGGAGAGCTAGCTTTCCTGCCTTGGAACTAGCAGTGCTGGGCCCATGTCCCCTCTGGGTGAGAGCCAGCTGACTCTTATCCACACCTGGCACGTTCCCATAGGTTCCACCAGACCCGCTTTGCTGCTTTGGCCACTTGGAGTCCTCGTTGGGGCCTCAGGACATTGGTGTGTGCCATCCCTGACTTGATGTCCCGAGTACACTCTGGCCCCATTTCACATTCTCCTTTCTGCCCTGGTGGAATTTTCAAAAGATAAAGGGAATCCTGTCACCCTCCCCTACTTATATTTTGACTTTTCACAAGATAAAGATAACACTCAGCATGGACTATGAGGCCCTGGGGCGGTGGCCCTGCCACCTCTCCCCTATAGCCTTCACCCCACAGTTTCTTCTCTGGTCATGATGGCCCTTCTCTGTTCCTTCAGTCTCCACCCTCTGTCTCTCCTCAGGACCTTTCCATGCCCTGTTTTCTGCTGCCTCCCTTCTCATGACCTCGTTGACTCCTCATCCTTCAGATCCATCATTTGTCGAGGTGTGACACTACATTTTGTGATGATTTATTTCATGTGGTTAAGTGCATGGCTATTAACCAAAAGGTTGGCAGTTTGCACTCACCCAGTGACCCTATGGGAGAAAGACTTGGTGATCTGTGAAGAAAGACCTGGCCTCTGTAAAGATTACAGTCTAGAAAGCTCTATAGGGCAGGTCTCCTGTGTGACGTAGGGTTGCTGTGAGTCAAAATGACTTGATGGCACCCAACAGTAACTACTCTTCCAATAGTTCAGAAGCCCATGAGAGCAGTGAATAGACTTTTTTTTTTTTTCTCCCAGAATTATATGCCCAGACTCGGTTGGTACACAGTAGGCACTCATCCACTTATTTTTCACATTTCTGCTCAAAACATACTTATTGAGCAACTACTATGTGTCAGGCCTTGTTCTGGGCCCTGAAGATGAGCAAGCCAGATCTTGAGGAACTTCCACTGGGGATGGTGATGGAGTTTGAAGAAGATGATAAACAAACCTAAGGAGCTCTGGTGGCATAGTGCCTAAGGCATTTGACTGCTGACCGGAAGATTGGTGGTTCAAACCCACTAGCCATTCCGCAGAAGGAAGACTGGGAAATCTATTTCCGTAAAGATTTACCACCTCAGAAACCCAAAAGGGGTCACTGTGAGTTGGGATCGAGTCAATGGCAGTGAGTTTGGTTTTTGGTTTGGTTTATAGTTGTCAGATGGTGATAAGAACTATGAAGAAAAAGAAAGCAGGATAAGGGGATGGGATGGGATGGGAATTCCTTTTCTTTTTTTTAGTCTTACTTATTTTTATTGTGATTTGGGTGAAAATTCACAGAGCAAATCCATGCCCTATTCAGCAGTTCATACACATTGCTTCATGACACTGACTGCAGTCCCCACCATGTAACAGCTCTCTTCCCACTTCCTCCCTGTGGTTATCTTTTCCCTGTGTCCTTTCCTATGCAGTCCTGCCCCCTGGGCTCTCTCCCTGTGCAAATACTGCCCTTCTGATCTCCCATGATTGATTGTTCTAAGGAGTGTATCTACCTGATGTAAATGTTCACCCTGTATGCCTGTCTGTTGTTTCGCTGGAAGCCAGGGTAGGCATTCTTTTATGTGCAGTGGTCAGGGAAGGCCTCTTTGATCAGGTGGCATTGAATCAAGGCTTGACTCGAGTGAGGAGCAGCCTTGAGGCCATGGAGGATAGAGGCCTGGGGCTGAGTGATCAAAGGCCTGTGTGTTCCTGGCCTAGTTCAGTTTTGCCTGCCCACTGGGTTTTGCCTGCCCAGTGGGTGAATGCCCTTGGAATGGCTGGGCCTGAGCTAACGCGAGCCCCTTGAATTGTGCAGCCTCCAGGACAAGTTGCGGGCCATTCTGCAGGCCACGTACACACACGCCCGGAACCTGGCCTGCTTTGTGTTCACCTACAAGGGGCTCTGTGCCCTGCAGTCCCACGCACAGGGCAAGACCTACCAGGTGCACTCATTCCTGGCTGCCTTCATCGGGGGCTTCCTGGTGTTTGGAGAAAACAACAACATCAACAGCCAGGTAAACCGCCTCCCTGGGAATGGTGGGCAGGGGGGCAGAAGGTGACCTCTCGGCTCCCATCAACCCCTGAGGGTCTATGATTGAGCAGTCCCTGTGAGGTGACTTCCTCCCTCAGTTTCCTTGTCTGTAAACCAGGCTGCGTGCTGGCATCCCGTGGTTCCCCGATCAGTGTGTCTGCTCTCTGGGGCAAAGACATTTTTGTTAAACCTGTCTGCAGTGAGTTGAGAGAAGGAAAGAGAGAGAGAGAGAGGAAGAAAAGAAAGAAAGAAAAACAAGCTTGGAGTAAGCGTTCATAAGAGAAAACTACACTCAAAGAATTGTCTCTCATTCTGTGACCTGTCCTTCCGCGTTTATTGTCTGGATTAAGATTCCCTTTTTTATGAAACTAAATACTAACAAAACAAAACAAAAACAAAAAAGCAAACTCACTGCCATCGAGTTGCATCCGACTCATAGTGACCCCTCCTTGTGTTTCTGAGGCGGTATCACTATGGAAGTAGATTGCCCAATCTTCCTTCTGAAGAGTGGCTGTTGGGTTTGAACTACCAGCCTTCTGGTTAGCAGTCAAGTACCTTAGGCACTATTGCCACCAGAGCTCCCAAACTAAATACTAGTAGCTTTTATTTTGATTTGTTTTTAATATACTTCTTAGGCAAAATGAAGTTTTCAGCCCTCTTTGTTTCCCTCAAATGTCTTAAATGTTCTTAAACTATAGAAATAAGACACATTGGCTACAAAGTATTCTGGACTAAACACCTTTGTCCCTCATGGAGTTCTAGGTGTTTGAGATGAATCTTGATAAAATTGAAAAATAAATAGAAAAGAGTGTCCACCATCTCCCCTTCAGCTCTCCAGCCCACTGCTCGGGGGGGTTACCGTTCACTGTGTCTTGTTAGCCTTTCGGAAATTGTCTGTGCTTGTGTCAGTATGTCTATCAGCTTTTCTACCAATAAGATCATATGATACTTTTTTTTTTTTTTCCACATGGCAATGTATTTTGCAGGGCTTTTTCTAACAGTCCCTGATCTTTTTATTTATTTATTTATTTGTGGTGAAAATAATACATGATAAAACATCCACCGTCTTGACGATTTCTGCTTGTTTGGTTTAGTAACATTCATTACCTTTTTCAAGACGTGCACCCATTCTTGCTGTCCTTTTCTAAATCATTTCACTGCCACTGACATCAATCGGTCCGACTTGATGGCACATAACAACAACAACAACATCAACTCAATGTCCCTAAGCAAAAACTCCCCTTTCCCTCCTCCCTCCTGCCCCTGGTAACTGCTAGTAGTCTTTGATTTCTATGTATTTGCTTATTTCATATAAGTGAGGTCATACAATATTTGTCCTTTTGCAACTGACTCATGTCATTCAGCATGATTGTTTTTTTTGTAATTGTGATTTGAGTGAAAGTGTACACAGCAAATTCATTTTCCATATAGCAGTTCATACATGTTTTGTTTCATGACATGGATTGCAGTCCCCATAATGTAACAGCTCTCTTCCCACTTCCTCCCTGTATTTGCCTTTTTCCTGTGTCCTTCTTTCCTGTGGATTCCTGCCTTCGAAGCTGTTTCCCTGTGCAAGTACTGCCCTTCTGCTCTCCCGTGGTTGATTGTTCTAAGGAGTGTACCTACCTGCTGTAAATGTTCATCCTGCCTGTCTGTGGTTTGGCTGGAAGCCACAGGAGTGTCAGCATGACGTGTTTAAGGTTCATCCGTGTTACAGCGTGCATCAGGCCTCGTTTCTCTTTATGGCTCAGTAGTATTCCATTGCATATTTATAATATAAAATTATGAAATTTTATTGTTTTATAATATAAAAACATTTTCTAATATAAATTATTTTATAATATACAATTTATATTATAATTAATATTTCATAATACAAAGTATAGATATATTATTTATGTAGTATGTATATGTATATATATGGGTGGTGTAGGTGGTTAAGCAATGAACTACTAGCCAAAAGGTTGGTGGATCGAGCCCACCCAGAGGCACGTCAGGAGACAGGGCTGGTGACTGGCTCCTGAAAGGTCAGAGCCTTGAAAACCCAGTGGAGCAGCTCTGCTCTGCACACATGCGTCACTATGAGTCAGAATTGATGCAGCAGTCGACCATAGCAATATATGTATATAACAAAACACTTGCTGTTTTAACCATTTCTAAGTGTACAGTTTAGTGACATGAATGAATTATATGCACCAGGTGATGCAACCATCGCCACTGTCCATTTTCCAATGGTTTTCATGCCCCTAAATGGAAACTAGTCCTTCATCCTTTTTAATATCGGCAGAGCACTTTGGTGTGTTACTGGACCGTCTGATTAACCGGTGCCCTCTGGGTGGACCGCTAAGGTGTCTTTCATCTTTTGCTGTTACACGCATACTACATACAGGTCATGTCTTTATTCAGAGGTCTTCATGCATGACTCAATGTGTCCATTAGAAAAGTTCCTAGAGATGGAATTACGGAGCTGAAGGGCATGAACGTTTTGTGTTTTGAGCAAGTTTCTCCAGTGTTCTTTTTTGTTAGATATTTCACTGGGTCATGAAGTTCCAAAGGCTAGGGACTCCTGGCTACACCCATCCCCCTTCTCTCCCCACCTTCCCTAGCCCCTGACCAATCTGTCCCCCTATTTTAAAATTTTGTCATTTTTAAAATGTTACCTGCATTGGATCATATAGCATGTGGCTTTTTCGTGTTCACTTTTTTTTTCACTCAGCATGATTCCCTTGCAATCTATCCAGGTTGCTGCATGCTCAGTATGTCATTCTTCTTTCTTGCTGGGTGGTATTCCTCGGTCTGGGTTTACCACAGTTAGTTCAACCTTTCGCCTTTTAAGGACATCTGGCCTGATTCCAGTTTTGGCTGTTACAAATAAAGCTGCTGATAACATTTGTATACAAGTTTTTGTATGAACCTGAGTTTTCATTTCTCCGGGATAAATGCCCAGGAGTTGCTGGGTTGTATGATAATTGCACATTTAGTTTTTATAAGAAACTGCCAAACAGTTTTCCAAAGGGGCTGAACCATTTTGCATTCCTACCAGCAGTATAAGAGTGATCCATTCTCTCCACATCCTAGCCAGCGTTTGGTTTATCATGTATTTTTTATTTTAGCCATTCTGATAGGCGGGTAGTGATGTCTCATTATGCTTTTAATTTGCATTTTCCAGGTGGCTAATGATATTGAACATCTTTTCATATGTTTATTTGCCATCTGTACATCTTCTTTAGTGAAATGTCTATTCATGTCTTTTGCCCATTTTCTCCTTGAATTTTTTTTTTTTTTAAATGTATTTCGAGAGTTCTTTATGTATTCAAGATACCACTCCTTTGTCAGACATGTGGTTTGTAGGTATTTTCTCCCAGTAGCTTGTTTTTCATTCTCTTCCTATGGGCTTTCACAGCCAAAAGTTTTAAATCTGAATGGGATCCAATTTATCAATATTTCCTTCTATAGATTATACTGTAAAGGAGATCTGGTAGCGTAGTGCCTAAGGCATCTGGCTGCTAACCAGAAGCTTGGGGGTTCAAACCCACCAGCCACTCCACACAAGGAAGATGAGGCAGTCTACTTCTCTAAAGATTTACAGCCTTAGAAACCCAATGGGGGTCACTATGAGTCAGAATCAACTCAATGGCAGTGGGTCTGGTTTTTTGGGTTTATGGATTATACTTTAGATGTCAAGTTACCTTTGCTTTTAAGCCCTGTAAATGTATTAATTTTAAAAAATTAATGAAAGAGAATAATATGTAAAACACATAATATGTAAAAATAATATATAAAAATAATTTTAAAAAATTAATGAAAAAGAATAATATATAAAATACGTAAATCATAACATTAAAATGCCCACAGCATTCCACTTCAGATTATCTTGGATACCAGCTTTGAAAAATACTGGCCTGGAGCATAGTCTGGCACCCCAGTGCATGGGTGGGGAGGGGGATTCCCAGTGGCTGTGCCTACCAGTAACCCCCCATCATTCCCTCCTTGTAGATCAACATGTACCTGCTGTCACGCATCCTGTTTGCCCTGTGCCGTCTGGGCGTGGAGAAGGGCTACATCCCCGAGCCCAGGTGGGACCCGTTCCCGTTGTTCACTGCGGTGGTGTGGGGGCTGGTGCTGTGGCTTTTTGAGTACCACCGGCCCACGCTGCAGCCCTCCCTGCAGTCCTCCATGACCTACCTGTACGAGGACAGCAACATATGGCACGACATCTCCGACTTCCTCATCTACAACAAGAGCCGTCCCGCAAAGTGATCCGGCCCCAGGTGCTCATGGGGGCTTCCACATCTGAGCAGGCTCCAGGTGGTGTCCAGGCAGGGGCTCGATGTCGGGCTGTATCAGCGAACCCTCCCAGAGGATCCTGTCTGCTCATGACCACGGACCTCAGCCCCCAGCTTTTATTTTCCCAGGGTTAACATTTGCAGAAGTAAAAGCACTGATTCTCAGATCCCATCTGGACACTGTTGAGTGGCCATCTCAGGCTGAGGAGCCTTGGGCTTGGTTCCAGCCGTGCTGCTGATCACCGTGACCAGGGCACTCATACCTCTCTGGGCCTCAAAGGTCACTCAGCTCAGAGGAGGGCCCTGAGGGCCCTTTCTGGTGGGTATGTTCTTTGACTGTTCTTATGTAACATAGGGCTTCTTGCTCGCGGACAGTGGGCTGCAGGTACTTTAAAAACATGACTTTCCTTCCCTCAGATTTTGTACTATTGGAGAAGCTCTGGAGTCACTCTGTCCAAGAGAAGCAAATTGTGAGCCATCTATGCAATTTAAATTTTTCTAGTAGCCACTTAAAAAAAGGGCGCTCTGGTAGCATAGTCCCTAAGGCACTTAACTGCTAACCAGAAGGCTGGCGGTTCAAGCCCACCAACCACTCTTCAGAAGGAAGGTTGGGCAATCTACTTTCATAGTGATACCGCCTCTGAAACCCAAGGTGGGGTCATTATGAGTTGGGTCCGACTTGATGGCACATAACAACAGCAACAACAACTTAAAAAATATATATAAAGAAGTGAAATTAATTTTAACATGTTGTTAACCCACTATTTCCAAATTATCACTTCAACATGTAAGTTAGTGAGATATTTTATATTTACTTTTGTACTGTCGTTAAAGTTGGGAGGTATTTTTTTATACTTACAGCCCCTCTCAATTTGGACTAGCCACATTTCAAGTATTCAGTAGACACATGTGACTAGTGGCCACCATATTGCACAGAACAATCCTTCTATCCTCACAGAAAGTTTTAGTGGGCAGTGAGGCTCTAGAGCTAGAGGACATGGGTTTGAGTCCCTGCTCCACCAGAGTATAGCCTTGGAGGAGGGTTTTAATCTCTCAGAGCTTCAGTTTCTGGTAAAATGAGGATAATCATAATTATCTTCATTAGGTTTCTACATTGGACTTGACAACTCAGAGTGCTGCTACTACTGTACTAATAATTCCACCCATTTAGTGAGCTCCTGAGGAGCTCTGGTGGTATAGTGGTTAAAGCATTTGGCTGCTAACCAAAAGGTCAGTGGTTCAAACCCACCAGCTGCCCCATGGAAGAAAAAGGAGGTGGTCTACTTCCATAAAGATTTACAGCCTTAGAAACCCAGTGGGGTTCTCTGTAAGTTAGAATCAACTTAATGGCAGTGAGTTTTGTTCTTTTTTTTTTTTTTTTTTTAACAAGTGAGCTCCTACTTCCTGTTAGGTGCTTTGCACCTATTATTTCTAATGCATACAATGATCTTGCAGGTATGTGATTTGATCCCCATTTTACAAATGTGGAAACTGAGGATCAGAGGAGGAGGTAACTTGCTCAGGGTCACGTTACTAGTATGAGGGTCAAATCAGGACTTGAACCCAGATCTAATTTCAAAGCCTGTGGATTTTTTTTTCCAGTGCCTTGCTTTAAATTTAGAAACCTAAGCTATGCTAAGGAGCTCTGGTAGCATAGTGCCTAAGGCACTTGACTGCTCACCAAAAGGCTGGCGGTTCAAACCCACCAGCCACTCCTCAGAAGGAAGGTTGGGCAATCCTACTTCCGTAGTGATACTGCCTTGGAAACCCAAGGAGGGGTCGCTATGAGTCGGGGCCGACTTGACGGCAAAACAACAACAGCAACAACAAGCTATGCTATACAAATGTTTGCTGATTATAGGATCTAGGTGGGAGAGGGTATGAACGCAAAAGGCTACAAGGACCTGGCAAGTGGCATAAATGAAAATTTTGTGTGTGCAGTACAGTAGGGGGTGATGAGGACGTAGTGAAGTGGATCTGATTTTTTACAACCACCATGCTGGATAAATCAAATAGATCTGCAGGAAGATTTGGTCCACGGGTCACCAACTTGAGACCCTCGGTCTAGTCGGAATGTGTTCATTGATGCACTGACTCATCAATGTCTCTTTATATATTTCAAATTTTTTATTGTGATTTGGGTGAAAGTTTACAGAAAAAATTCATTTGCCGTACAGCAGTTCATACACATTTTGTTTTGTGATATTGACTGTAATTCTCTACAAATGTAACAGCTCTCTCCCCACCTCCTCCCTGTAGTCACCACTTCCCTATATCCTCTTTCCCTATGCATCCCTGCCCCTGAGCTATTTCCCTGTGCAAACACTGCCCTTCTGTTCTCTCTTGATTGATCTCTCCAAGGGGTGTATCTACCTGATGTCAGCCTATGTGCCTGTCTGTTGTTTGGCTGGAAGCCACGGGAGTAAGTTCGGTTCCAGACCCGAAGGGTAACTAGGGGCCATAGTCTCAGGGGTCTCACCAGGTTCTATCCGACCAGCACACCTGGTCTTTTTGTCTCTTTTTGTATTGGAGAAGTTACTAGTAGAATGTGTATCTGAGCCACTAGGAATCTTATTAAAATGCAGATTCTCATTCAGTGGGTCTGGAGTGGGGCCTGGGATTCTGCATTTCTAACAGGTCCCAGGGGTGATGATGCTACTGTTACTTGCTGTTACTTTGAGTAACAGAGTAGCAGAGAATGGCATGGGGCCCAGTAGTAGTATCCAACTGAGGTACATTATGTCTGACTTTAAAACCATTGTTCTCAGCCAATACAGCATTCTACTGTAAGCTTGGAATAGGTGGTTTTGAAAGTCCCTTAATTTTCTTTGGAAGTTGAACAAGATCTTGAGGTTATGGGGTTGGCCATCACCAAATTGGGTTTTATAGCAGACGCTGTGGGTGCCTCGCCTATATTCTCTCTAATTTACCCCTTCAGAGGACACCAGCCAACTTTTCGAACTCCACACCTGTATCTCTCTGCCTGAGAGCTTTCTCTTGCCACCTGCACCTGCCTTGCCATCCTGTGGCATGCCCAGTGTGCTAGGACATTCACACATCCTGGTAGCAGACCTCAACCAGTAACTGACAGGAGGGAGGATAAGCACCCCTACTTCCTGCCCCTCACCCCTTGGGTGGGATAGCTCATAGGCCTGTGTTCCACTCTGGCTCCCACGGCTCCCCGACAGGATTGAGCTCCAGTTGCCAACCAAGGTAACTTCCTTGAAAGCGCACTTCCCTACCACTGCTGTCTAGTACCACTTCCAAGAAGAACCACTTGCCGTCAGATCTTTGTCTCAGGGTCTGCTATTGGGGGAACCCCAACTAAAATGGTCTACAATACAACAGTTTGGGAGGCAGCATAGCATGGTGGCTCGGGACATAGGTTTGGTGCCAGACTGCCTAGGCTAAAGCCCTGGCCCCTGTGTTTTCTTGGTCAAGTGGCTTAACCATTCTGTGCCTCAGTTTCCTCCTCTGTAAAATAGGAATGTTTATAGCACACACTTCATAGGGTGGTCTTGAGGATCGAGTGATAGGACATATCAATGAGCTCCCAAGAAATGTTTGCAGTTCTTTCAAATGTAGCATCCAGAAGTATAGAGGGAAGTGTGGTCATGGGCACTGACTACACCCTGCTTTTAGTCTGTCCTATCCCAGCTGAAGGTAAAGCCTTGACTGCCTGCCTTCCATGTCCCCCCACTGCGCCGGGGGCTGGCTGGCTCTACCACCAACGTCTCTGCTCTCTAAGAATAGGTTTCCCTCACAGATGGCATCTCTCTGAATCCTGCCAGAGCATCTGGTGCTTCCAACTGCACACACTCCAGGGAGGAGGGCAGTGTGGTCCTCGCCACAGAGCCGGCTCTGGCTTCCAGCAGACCTGGGAGGTGTCCCCTGGGCTTCCAACTGAGCCTCTATTCCTAATAGCGGTGAAATGCAGATCACCTCAGGGCACTCCATAAATATCAGTGCCTGAAAGGAGACCCTGTGTTTAGTAAGCACCTGCTGCATTCCTGTGAAGATTTCAGAAAATAACTTGGGAAGCAATAATACATGCAAATAGTACAAAGTTCAGAGTCTACAGTGTATAAATGCCCAAACGCCAGCCCAAATCCCCCACCTTTGCCAAGGGCTCCCGCTGGTAGCACTTTCTGGGCCGGCCTTCCTGAGCTTCCATGCACAGCCCCCATCTTTAGTCTGACAGGAAACATTGCATTGCAATGTCTTCCCCACTCTTAGCATTCCTCCTTGTTCTCGGCATGTTTGGTTTCTCTTTGATCAATGAGCTGATATAAGGACGGTCCTTCTTAGCTTTGAGCAGGTGTTTCGATCCTCACTGTCATGCCCCTACCTCAGGCAGGGCCTTCCTGCGATCAGTGTGGAGAATACCACCCTCGACGCCCTGAGCCCGATGGTAGATGACACCCAACGTGTGAGCCCATGGATCTCCAAGTGAAAGGGAAGGGACAAACATGATGTTCATTTGGGGCCCTTCCGCTGCTGAGGAGCCCTGCTGGCACAGTGGTTAACGTGCTTGGCTGCTAACCCAAAGGTCAGCTGTTCGAATCCACCAGTTGCGCTGCAGGAGAGAGAGGGAGCTGTCTCTTTCTGGAAAGATGTACAGCCTTGGAAACCGTACGGGGCAGTTCTACTCTGTCCTGTAGCGCCACTGAGAATCAGAAGCAACTCGGCGGCAACAGGGTTAGATTTGGGTTCTGCTCTGCTCCCAAATTAGAGCTGGTTATGTGAACTCATGTGAGAGCGATGATTCACGGGCTGAGACGCCAAGAAACTGCCTCCCGTGACGCTCCCAGCCCGGCCCTCTGCCTCGCAAGCTGCAGAGAGGCTCCAGTGATGGCCTTTCTTTTCCACATTGTTCCTTTCTCCCACTCAGAGTGCATTCGGGGTTTACACGAATTGGGGTTTAAACCCAACACCCTCCTAAACCAGAACACTGTTGGGCTCCACCTCCCAAGAATAAAGCC